TTGAGTTGTGCCCCACCAGCAAATGGAGGTCCAGAAAGATTGACTACATTCACATCTCTAAGGTCAACTCTACTTTGGGGAGGTAGCTCTTCTCCTGTCGTATTTTGAGTGACTTCCAACTTGAGAGGCTCATCTTCTGGCATGAAATCACACAATGTTTCAGAGCAATTGATAAACTTTTCTAGAAGCATATCAGGCAGTGTTTCACTGCTATGCATAAGATTTTCACTGGCCAATTTCCTCAGAAGTTGGATGGCCCATCCTTCTTCCCAGTCTGTCTTAGTCTGGAAGCTCTGCTGAAACCTGTCCACCATGGGTAACCCTGCAGGTATTTAAATTGCTGCTGGCATAGCCTCCAGCATCCTAGCAACACACAAGCCACCACAGTATGACAAACTGACAGAGAAGTGGTGGGTTCAATAGGTTAGAAACTATTAAATCTTGTGGATGTAATTTGTGGATCCTTATGATTCCTGCAATGGTTGATGGGGCTTGTGTTTGTGTATCAGAGGGAAAAAATAATAATGCTGTTGATCTGGACTCTATCTTGTGGGATCTTTTGTTCAGATAAAAACAAAACATTTGCCATCGAGATGATGTTGACTCATAGTGACATGTGTGTCAGAGTATAAATGCACTTTATTGGGTTTGCAGGAACTGCCTTTTTGGAAGTAGATTGCCTGGCCTTTCCTCCAAGGCATCTCTGGATCCAACCTTTCTGTCAGTAGCCAAGCATGTAAATGTCACCCATGGACTCCCTAAGGGTCCTAGAGTTCTGCTTTCCCAGGGAGTCTTCACAGCCCTCTCTCTGCCTCCCTTGCTTCCTGTGTGGGACCTTCAGTGGTGCTCTGCCTCCATGTTACTGCCTGGTCTCTCTGTTAGCTGAGCTTTCTGTTCCCATCATGAGCTGCCCCGTCTATGATGTTGGCTGCCCCGGCTGGACCATAAATCTTTTCACTGTTAAAAGAGATTCAGTTTCCACTGCACACAACAGCCCAGACAAAATGGGGGAAACTGGGATTCATCTTTAGACTCAATTGGGAGTAAAGTCAAGAACAATCTAGTTTAGAGTTCACCACTTCATTGTTTGAAAATAAAATAATCACCTGGAGACTTTGAGATTAGAAAGAAAAAACCAATGCCTGTACCCCACTGAAGGAATTCCTATTCCACTGGTCGGGGATCCACCTTGGGCTTCAGAAATTTTGTGGTTGTTGGGTGATAGAGTCCATTCTAACTCTTAGTGACCCCATAAAACATAGTAGAACTGTACCACAGGGTTTTCGGGGCAAATGTTGATGGTTAGAACCCACACAGAAGCTCCTTGGAAGAAAAGTCCTGGTGATCACCTCTCTCGAAAGATTAAAGCCTGGAAAACCCTGAGACAGTTCTACTCTAGTCTATAGAGTAGCTCTGAATCAGAACCAACCTAATGGTAGTGAGTTTTTGGGGTTTCCCTTGACTATGACTCAAAGATTATCCATAATCTATCACCCAGTAACCAAGAATTCATTTATTTCTACTATGCTTGGTTGCAGATATAAATTAAACACAAACATTTCAATGTCCAAATTGAGATGTGCTGTAAGTGTGAAATATACACACATGCCAATCATTTCACAGGTATGATTTCTTAGCAGCACTAATAAACTAAGACAGCCACCCTTCTGAACACCCCTTCCCCTTGATACCAGTGGCAAAGAAAAGCACACTACTGATTACATGAAAAATCAGCCTGTCTACATCTCAACAAAACTGGAATTGTGGACTCCTGGTGACAATACAGAATGGCACAGCCTCTTTAAGGGCAAACAGGCAGTTTCTTACACAGTGAAACATATACTTACCATATGACAGTAATCTTTTCTGGGGATACATGCAAGTAAGTTCACATAAAACCTGTTCAGGAATGTTTATATCAGCTTTATTCATAATAACTAGAAATACAAAATGTCCTTCAACTGGCAAAAGCACAAACTATGCTATGGCCATACAATGGAATTCTAACCTTCAATTAAAGGAACCAAGCTGGAGGTATATTCATCATCATGGATGATTCTCAAACACATTATGCTATGTGAAAGGAGCTAGTATCAAAAGGCTACACACACAATGAATGGCATGTAGAGGGACAGCTGGTGAGGATTTATGGCCAAGCCTAAGTTTGACTAAAAGGGGCGGCACCAGGGATAATTTTGGTGGGAATTATGGTACTGTACTGTTCTGAACGTTTATTTTGCAAATGATTATGAGGCTTCATGCATTTGTCAACTCAGATTCCAAATGTAAATTACAGTTTTTAAACTGAAAAAGATAATGTAAAAAAATTCATAAAAAATGAAAAATGAATATAAAAAAACTGAAAACTGAGAAGCAAAATGAGAGACAGATTCAATTATAATTATCACCTTCAAGGGAGAATCCCTGGTAATGTCCTAGAATGGACTGTCTCGACAACATTATTGGCATTTATAAAATGTACATTAATACATAAATGTTTCACAACCTGACAGCATCACGTACACATTATTTTATACTCTGCTGCAGTGCAACAGGTTTCTCTTATACATGGTTGTTCTCGCTCTGCGTTTGTAACTCTGCAGACAATGATTGGTTGTGACACAGTCTGCCCTGTAATTGGTTTATTTACACACTTTGCAGGAATTAGTTGATTTGCTAATCAAATAGTGGCTTGACAATCCACCCAATGGTGGTGGTGGTGTTGTTATGTGCCATCGAATTAGACCTGACTCATAGCGAACACTCCTTGGGTTTCTGAGGCAGTTTCACTACAAAAGTAGATTGCCCACCCTTCCTTCCAAGGAGTGGCTGGTGGCTTCAAACAGCCAGCATACTGGTTAGCAGTCAAGTGCCTTAGGCACTATGCTACCTGAGCTCCTATCCACCCAATAGGATTGGATAATTTGCAGCCCAACAAGAGGTTGATAAGTCATTGCCCTGTAGAGAGAGCTATGACTTGAAATTGACCAGAAGTTTGCTTATTTAAGTGGCAAAACCGAAAAGGGGTATAAAGGGAGTAGGAGGGAACCTCCTAAAAGAGATGTAATATGGGAGAACAGCTGTAACACCCAGGAAGGGGCTCAGCAGCAGAGAGCTGGCAGCAGAAATGGCAGTGAAGACAGAAAACTGGTGCCAAGAAAGCAGCTGAGAGAGCTGAGTGGGCTGCTAAACAGGCCAGGAGTTGGGGCAGCTATCAGTAGAAAGGATGACACCAGGGAGGCAAACTGCAGATGTATGCTTGACTGAGAAGAGTCCATGGTAATTTAGTGTGCCTACAGAGGAAAAGGAATAACTAAAGGCCTTTCTACATTATGTTCATAAGCTTTGTCCTCACTAGGCCTTATTTTGTGTTGAGATAAGAGCTACGAATAATAGCTTTGTCACATTCCTTATATTCATGTCTCTCCACATTTGAGTTTACTGAGGTTCAATGAGAACTGAGGAATGACTAAAGCCTTTCCCATATTCTTTATGTTCATAAGCTCTCTCTCCAATGTCAGTTACATGCCTAGTAAGGGATGAGGACTCACTAAAGGATTTCCCACATTCTGTACATTTCTAATGTCTCTTTCCCTCTGTGTTCTTATTATTCTAGTAGGTGTTAGGAATCACTAAGGGACTTATGACATTCTTTAAATTCATAAGGTCTCCCTGTGAGTTTTTATATGAATAGTAAGGGATGAGGATTGCCTAAAGGCTTTTTTGCATTCCTTACATTCATAAGGCTTCTCTCCAGTGTGAATTCTTATATGTGCAGTGAGGGCTGAGGACTCAATAAAGGCTTTCCCACATACCTTACATTCATAAGGCCTCTCTCCAGTGTGAATTCTTACATGACTGGAGAGGGATGAGGACGAACTAAAGGTTTTCCCACACTCCTTGCATTCATAAGGTCTCTCCCCAGTGTGCCTTCTTAAATGGCAAGTGAGGTTGGAGGACTGAGAAAAAGCTTTCCCACATTCCTTACATTCATAAGGCCTCTCTCCACTGTGAATTCTTATGTGTTCAGTAAGGGTTGAGGAACGACTAAAGGCTTTGTTACATTCCATGCATTCATAAGGCTTCTCTACACTGTGAGTTCTTTTATGTTTAGTGAGGGTTGAGGAACAACTAAAGGCTTTCCCACATTCTTTACATTCGTAAGGCTTCTCTCCAGTGTGAATTCTCGTATGTGAAGTGAGAGATGAGGATTGAGTAAAGGCTTTCCCGCATTCTTTACATTCATAAGGCTTCTCTCCAGTGTGAACTCTTGTATGGTTAGTGAGGGATGTGGGGTCTTTAAAAGCTTGTTCACATTCCTTACATTTATAAGGTCTCTCTCCACTGTGAGTTCTTATATGTCTAGTGAGGGATGAGGAATGACTGAAGGCTTTCCCACATTCTTTACAATCATAAGGCTTATTTCCAGCATGAAATTTTTTATGTAAAAGGGATGATGAGGGATAGCTTTTCCAATGTGCTTTACATTCACACTTACAACCTCTCACATGTGTCCACAAAGATGAGAAACAACATAAATCTTCCTCATTTTCATTAAATTCATAGTGTTTCTCTACAGGAAGAGTTCCTAAAAGAGTGTTAAGGTCCGAGGGACAAATGCAGGCTTCTCTACGTTTCTGACATTGGTAACTATTGCAAACACACTGACAGCTGATATGATGTTTAAGTGATGAATGATCAACGAAGGATTTTCCACTCTTATGGCATTCAGAAGAATTTAGAACAGTAGGAGTTCTTTTGAACACAGGAAGATTAAGAATCAGGCTGAAGGTTTTTCCACCGTTATTTTCTTCATTGCTTTCAAAGAGGTTCTTTATCATATGACTTCTGTTAAAAACAGGCAGCATACTGTTAGGATTAAATCTGTTCCCATTTCACTATGACCAAACACAGTATATGTTTATGATTTTTGTTCTAAGTTGCCTCATGTTTCACAGGTTCGATCATCTTGCAGAGAGTCTACCATTAGTGTCAGAGGTTTTCCAAAATAAGAGGCTTTTTGGTAATTATTTTCAAGTGAAATATATTTCACATATTCAAAATCTAACTCATATTCATAAAAATATTCTGTGAAAATCATACACACACACATATACACACAAACAAATAACAAACTCACTGCCATCGAGTCGATTACGACTCATAGTGACCCTCAGTGGGTTTTCCAAGGCTGTGTATATTTATGGAAGTAGATTACCCTATCTTCCTTCCATAGAGTGCCTGGTGGGTTTGAAACATTGACCTTCTGGGTTAGCAGCCAAATGCTTTATCCACTATTTCACCGAAGCTCCATATATGTAGATACTGATGTCATGACACCTTAAGATTGTCTCCTGAGGCACTGCTCTCTCTCATGTGAATGATACTCACCTCATACATCTTCCCTGATTTTTATGCCAATCTTCAATGCCATCCAATTCACCTACTCCTAACTGAGAAAACGAACTGTCATTCTTCATGAATTCCAATATTAGATATTCACTTGATAACTTTTCTCCATCATTCAAGTTTTGACAAACTGACCCGATGATTGAAGTTGAGGGTCACAGTATGGAACAAAAAGGAAAGGAATGATTAGGAGGAAAAAGGCATCTGTGAGAAAATAAAGAATGACACATTTTGCTGTTTCAGGTCTTTGGTAATTGCAAAAATCAATTTTCTAGGAAATACTTCCATCAATTTTGAGAGCAACAATAAAAAAACAGATTGCAATTAGAGATAAATGTGCAAAATTCGTACACATTACATACGTAACGTGGAAACACTCAATGTGTATATAAGAGGGAAGAGGCAAGGTATTCCTCCGTGAACACAGGTGTGAGAGGATTGATCACAATCAGAAAAATAAGATCAGGCCTGTGAACTGCAGGCTCTTCAACATAAAAGAGATCTTTATTCCAATCCACTTCCTTCTATGCAGCACTGGTCCTGCACAGGATTCTTCCCCTTCTGGTGGTCCCTGACACAGTAGCTCTGGATGTCCTATTGTCACTCTCCTCAAATATTTCCCTTGCTTTTCTGAGACCAAAAATGGGTGTAGGTTACATGGAGAAAGCACAGCATGAGGAAAGACAGTGAAAAGTAACTAGTATTTCCCTACATTTAGACAATATTTGGACCTTCACAGTCTCTGGCAATGGGGAGGTATGAACTTATTTGCAGCAAAATAATCATGTGTCACTTCTAATAAACACAGTGAACATAAGGTCCTAAACAATAAATCTTCTCTCTGTTCTCTAAAGTAATGCCTGAATTCAATTCTCATACTGAAAGAGCCTCAAGGCTTTTAACAAGACAAATAAAAAGCCAGATTAATACATAGAGCTTTATGTGCAGCTCAAGCCATATTTAAGATCCACAGATGAAATTATCACACCTGTCCTGTTTAACAATGCAGTCCCATTCTTCAGTCCAAATACTGGAGCAAGGCTGATGAATAGGATATACATGCTCAGTTAATAATAAATCTACAAATGACATCATACTTACCTACTGAGATCAGGTTTCTGAAGGTTTCCATCATCACATCTTTGTAGAGTTTCCTCTGAGCAACATTCATCAAAGCCCACTCTTCCTGGGTAAAGTCCACAGCCACATCCTCAATGACCACTGAGTCCTAAAACACCACACATATTCTTGTTGAGCAAAATACCGTATTATTCCAGTGTGTGCAAAAGGATGTGGGAGACTGACAGTCTTGGGGAACTGAGAATTCATAGAAAATTGACACAAAGTTCTGGGTTGTATTAAAGTCTACTGTAGGGTTTAGGCATCAGGCTCATCCCACCACTATCTGTGTTCACTTCCTCCATTCTGTGTCATAGATTTAACAATACTTCCAACCCACTGATATCTCTCTACACTTGATGATCAATGCCTGTCTTATTCTCTCCACCTTTATGGACTAGAACACTCAGAGCATGGACCAGAAAGTAGAGAAATGCTCTACAAATGAAAGTCTTATGTCCACATTCAGATGACTTCCTTCTGAACAAAACAAAACAACACCACTTCCTTCAACAAGACCCACCAGAACACACAAAAACAGTGATCTTATTTTTCTGATTGAAAGCAGGATGAGATATAAACAACAGGGAAACATTGTAGGACTTGCAGCTTTTCCTTTTGCCCCTCATTAGTCATGAGAGGCCCAGGGGCCTAAATCAACAAACTCATAACTCTAAGCCCTGAGAAGCTTGTGTTTTCTGGACATCAACAAAGTTTTTCTAACATATATATGAAAAGAATAAAGCCTAAGAATAGTCAACAAAGTGCTGAGGAAAACAGAGGGTAAGTCTGAGACTACACCATTTACTCTGAAGCTACAGCAATCAAGAAAGACTCTGTGTGTGTGTGTGTGTGTGTGTGTCAGGTGCCATCGAGTTGCCTCCAACTCATAGCTACCCTACATACAACAGAACAAAACACTGCCTGGTCTTGCACCAGCCTCACAAGTGCTGTTATGCTTAATCCACTGTCATGATATTGTGTCAATCCAACTTGTTGAGGGTCTTCCTCTTCACCGACCCTCTACTTATCAAGCTGATATCCTTCTCCATGGAATGGTCCCTCCTGATAACATGTCCAAGGTACATGAGATGAAGTCTCACCATCTTTGTTTCTAAGGAGCATCCTGGCTGTACTTCTTCTGAGACAGATTTGTTCATCTATCTGGGAGTCAATATTCTTTGCCAATACCATAACTCAAAGGCATCAACTTTTCTTCAGCCTTCATGATCTAATGTCCAGCTTTTGTATGCTGGACATAATGACTTGAGGTACGGGAGATCTGAGAAGAGACTGTTCCAGGAAGAGGGAAGTGCCAGATCACAGATTAGAAAGTAGAACTGTTTTGTATGGTTTAGACAGAGCCAAAAGCCAGATGACTGAAGCAGTGAGATGCTGCAGAATAACAGTACAGGAATTTGGTGAGGCGATTGGCATCAGCAGGCATATCATGTTCTGGGGGAACTTTTTGGCAACTGAAAAGACGCTGGCACTTAATCTGAGTGAAATGGAGAGCAAATTTATACTTCAGAAAATACTATGTTTGCATAGTGAATATATTATGGTTTGGATTAGGTGTATCTTAGTCTTCAAAGTGACATCTTTGTCTTTTGAAACTTTAAAGACAGCTTTAAAGATATGTCCAATGCCACACGCCCTGGAGAGAACAATCATGGGAGAAGGAAGGGCTGCTTATGCACAGGGAGATAGCTCAGGGTGCAGAAGAGTATGAAGGGATGGACACCGGGAGGAGGTAACTATGGGGAGGAAGTGGGAGGGGAGCTGCTGCATTGTAAATTTTGGTCAATGACATGAGACAAAGTATATGTGAACTGCTGTATGAAAAGTGAATTTACTCTGTAAATCTTCACCCAAATCCTAATTTAAAAAAAAAAAAAAAAGATATGTCCAATGCAATATGTCATTTGATTTCTGGACTGCTGCTTTAATTTGCACGGATTATGGATTCAGTCAATATTTTCTTGGTTTCTTATCATGTTGCTTATTGGTCCAGTTGAGAGGATTTTTCTTTTATGTTGAGGTGTAATCCATACTGAAGGCTGCAGTCTTCGATCTTCATCAGTAAGTGCCTCAGGTCTTCTTCACTTTCAGAAAGCAAGGTGGTTTCATCTGCATATTTCCAGTTGTTAATAAGTCTTCCTATAATCCTGATGAAGGAGCTCTGGTGGTGTAGCGCCTAAGGCATGTGACTGCTAACCAGAAAGCCTGGAGGTTCAAATCCACCAGCCACTCCTCGGAAGGAAGGTTGGGCAATCTATTTCCATAGTGATACAGCCTCAGAAACCCAAGGAGGGGTCGCTTTGAGTCGGATCCGACTCAACGGCAGTGGGTTTGGTTTTCTTGGTATAATCCTGATGCTATGTTCTTCTTATAGTCCAGCTTCTTGAATTACTTGCTCAGCATATATTTTAAATAAATATGGTGAAAAGATACAACCCTGATACTCACCTTTCCTGATCTGAAACCATGCAGTATCATCTTGTTCTGTTTGAATGACTGCCTCTTGGTCTGTGTACATGATCCTCGTGAGTACAATTAAGTTTCTAGAATTCCCATTCTTCACAATGTTATCTATAATTTGTTATGACTCACACAGGTGAAAGTCTCTGAAAAGTCAATAAAACACAGGTAAATATCTTTCTGATATTCTTTGCTTTCAGCCAAGATGCATCTGACATCAGCAATGCTATCCCCTGTTCCATGTCTTCTTCTGAATTCAGCTTGAATTTCTTGCAGTTCCTTGTCAATACACTGCTGCACCTGTTTTTGAAGTATCTTCAACACGATTTTACTTGCATGTGATATTAATAATATTTTTCAACAACTTCCACATTCTGTTGAATCACTTTTCTTTGGAATGGACACAAATATGGATCTCTTCCAGTCAGGTGGCCAGGTAGCTGTCTTCCAAATTACTTGGCATAAAGCAGTGAATGCTTCCAATGCTACATCCTTTGGTTGAAACTTCTCAATCAGTATTCTGGCATTCCTCTAGTCTCATTTTTCACCAATGCCTTCACTGCAGCTTGGATACTTTTGGTTCTTGATCATTTACACTTTCTGAAATGGCTGAATGTTGACCAATACTTTTTGCTACAGTGACTCTGTGTATTCCTTCCATCTTCTTTTGATGTCTTCTGCAACAAACAATAACTTGAAAGACCAGACAAGTTCTGGGATGACATAAAGAACATCATGCATGAAAAAACAAAAAAGGACATTAAAAAGACAGGAAATGAAGAGAAAACCAAAATAAATGTCAGAAGAGACTGTGAAACTTGCTCTTGAAAGAAGACTAGCTAAAGTGAATGGAAAAAATGATGAGATGAAAGCTGAATGGATTTCAAATCGTAGCTTGAAAAGACGAAGTAAATTATTATAATAAAATATGCAATGACTTAGAGTCAGAAAACCAGAAGAGAAGAACATGTTCAGCATTTCTCAAGCTGAAAGAACTGAGATTAGAAAGCAGAACTGTTTTGTGTGGGTTAGGCAGAGCCAAAAGCCAGCATGACTGAAGCAGTGAGATGCGATAGAATAACAGTAGAGGAATTTGGTGAGATGATTGGGATCAGCAGGCATATCGTGCTCTGGGGAAACTTTTTCGCAACTGAAAAGACTCTGGCATTTAATCTGAGTGAAATGTAGAGCAAATTTATACTTCAGAGTAGTGGAGGAAATGGATATAAGAGCTCATAAAGAACGTGTGTGTAGGGGTCAAATGTAAAAGCTGAGAGATATGTTAGAAGCTTATGGCTACAATCAGTTAAGAGATGATGATGGTTGACAGTGGTGCTAAAAGTGATGTATGCAAGGGATGGCCCTAGACTTTTAGAGTAGAGGCAACAGAATTTCCTGATGGACTGAAGTTGGAGTGTGAGACAAAGAGGTGCAAAGGATGCATCTGAGAGTTTTTCCTGTGAAAACTGGAAGAATGGCATACCATTTACTTAGATGTGGAAGCTTATACAGGGGGAACACTTTGTGGCAAGAATAAAAGGGTGACCTGGAGCATTTTGAGAACACAGTGAGGATAAGCTATCCAAGAGGGGAAGACATATGAAAATGAAAGTCTTTAAAAGAATTCTATGCAATAGAAATGATTAGTCTCTTTAACAGATGGTGCTGGGACCACTGGACTTCCCCATGTGAAAGAAGTTGGATCCCTATGTCACGGGATGAAACTGAATTCAAAATGGATCACAGACCAAAATATAAGAGCAAAAACCATAAAAGTACTGTTTATAATAGCCACAAGATACAATCTTTCCAAATATCTTTAAGAAACAGAATTGTTAAATTATTATACTCATATAAGAGAATACTACTGAACAGGATGAATGGATCTTGGAAGAGTCTTCCTAATGTCAATTTAAACTGAAGGAGTTGACATAAAAAGTACGTATCATATCATTCTATTTGCTTATGATACAAAAATACCAAAAAGGACAATATATTGATTTGAGATACATACATAAAAGCAAGAATGGCAAAACTTTGTCTTGTTCACTTGAACATGTCATCAGATAGACCAATCCCTAGAAAAGGACACCTTGTTTGGTAAAGCAGAAGTTCAGTGAAAACAAGGCAAAGTGTCCTTTAGATGGACTGACACACAGCACCAACGGGCTGAATCATATCAAGGACCATGAAGATAGCGTAAAACTGAGCATCATTTTATATGGTGATTGCAGTATAGTAATTAGTTAGTGTGGCTTTTCTACCCATAAGTCATTGTAAACTCAGTGGTGGAATGAGCAACTGAGGAGCTCCTGATTGTAAATGTTATCCACCTGGGTTATTTCTGTTGGGCATGGCACAATACAATGTTCTGGGAGGTTCCCACTCTCTCTCACGTGCTTAGAGTTCTGATGCTGTGATTGGCTAGTTTGACCACCCTTCCAGGCTCAAAAGGAGGCCTCCTGGAGGCAGAACTCTCTCTGACTGCTGGTTGAGGAAGACGTGCTGCTGAAAGAGACATGGGCTCCTGAGACACGTGTTGCTGGGAAAGAGGCACAAGAGACACGCATCGCTGAGTGAGACACCGAGGGACATGCACTGCTGGGAAAGAGACTGTGAGAGACTGTTGGCTGAGGGATGGTGGGCTGGGAGAGAGACTGAGCATTTTTTCCTGAACTTGAATTATAGCCTGTGGTGCTTCCCTAATAAACCGCACAATCTGTGAGCTCTGTGTGGCCACTGCAGTGAATTATCAAACCCAGGAGATAGGTGTGGGTGCTTTGGGAGGAATGGTTGGAGAAAGGGCTGGAGGGAGGCAGCATGTCTGGCCTGGCAGGAATAGGCCTTGGGTTACTGCTGGTAATCCTGTCTTCCTCTTGTGGGATTAGAGGAGGTCAGAACATGTGGGCTCCTTGCCGTTTTTGCAGTGATACATAAGGTTGCCATGGCTCATGCCACCTTGATAGCATGTAACAATGACACAGATGATAAAATATAAAGAAAAGCAAAGAAATGATCATCATAAACACTGAGATACCCTTGATTACATCCAGAGGGTGAGTGGAGATTGTGACTAAAAATCAACATATAGGGAATGTGTGTGTAGTATGGGGTAACTCCACTACATGGATTTTCAGTCTATATTTAACACAGATATGCATCTATTACAATGTTTTCATGTATGTCAAAAATACTCAAATTTAGAAACAGAAATGCACATGTAAAATTTATAAATCAGCATATACACAAATCAACCACCAAAGTCCATACACCCAGAAAGTTCAACACTATCCCAGTAAAAGCAAAAGAAAGATGTTCATTACTCCATTCCTATTCAACTACCAACCATAGAGGTGTACCAGTACACATCGAAAAGAAAAAGAAAAACATAAAGAAACAGGAATGTTAAAGAAAGAAAGAAAGAAAGCCTCATTCTATTTGAAAAGTTAAATAATTGTATATGTAGAAGCTCAACAGATGATTAGAAGACTGAGAAAATTTAGCAATTTTTTCAGATTACAAAATAAGTACCAAAGTTTCTTTTAAATGTTTCGTTTATACACACTAGCACCAAGCAGAGAGTCAGCAAAGAAGGGAAGCCCTTAACGAGATGGACTGACACACCAGCTGCCATCCTGGGCTCAAGCACAGAAATTGTAAAGATGGTGCAGAACCAGGCAGTGTTTCCTTCTGTTGTACACAGGGTCGCTATGAGTCGGGGCTGACTCGACGGCACACAACAACAACAACAGTAGTTGAGAAATTACTTGTTAAAAGGTAGCATGTATTTTAATTAAAATAAAAAGTACCAAAAACAAAACCTGTTGTCAAGTCGATCCTGACTCATGAGGACCCTACAGGACAGAGTAGAACTGCACCACAGGGTGTCCAAGGCTGTAACTCTTTATGGAAGCACACTGCTTCATCTGTCTCCCATGGAGCAGCTGGTGGCTTTGAACTGCTGACCTCTCGGTTAGTAGCTGAGCACTTCAACCACAGCACCACCAGGCCTCCTTT